AAAAAAAAGTGGGAGGTCAAAAAGATGATGGAAAGACTGGAGACTTCTTTATTCTTGTTTCTCTAGATTCTTGAATCTTTTGAGAGTTTTTGGAAGGTATTTTTTCTTATCAATTTTTTTCTTAGAAAAGTGTTTTTGCCATAGATTTTTTGAATGGATTTTTTGTATTTAGTTGCAAAAATAAACAAGAAAAGTATTTTGAAAAAGAAAAAAAAAACAAGTGGTAACTTCTGTTCACTTGTTGATTAAACAATCAGTGTTGTTAAAAAAAGTATGTAGGCTTTATTATTATAAAGACATGAAGTTTTTTAAGAACATCTATTTTTTGAATTGGCAAAATGATCAACAGAAAGAGTTTTAAATAAAACTTTTTTTTTGTTTTGATTTGTTTTCAGCTTATGGTTATTAAAAAGATTAAAATTTCTATTTTCATATAGTCTAATTAAAATTAGAAATTGATTTTTGGTTAATTGGATATAATATAAATTAGAAGCTAATTAATCAATCATAAAGATAATAAGTTTTTATAACCAGATGAATTTGAATTCTAAATTTTTTTCTGGTAACCTATAAAGTATTACCACTATGCTATAGACTTATAAATTTAAAATTTTTTTAATATTATATAATTAATAATTATAATATAACAATAAACTTGCTAATTAAATTTAAACAATAATATATAATAAATAAATATTTAAAATCAATAATAAGCATTCAAATAGTAAAATAGTTTATGCATAAAGTGCTTGTATCATTATGTTTTTGATTTCAAAGATTAAATAACCATAATAAATGCTTGTTTGATTATAGAAAAAAAATATATAAATAGCAATAATTTAATTTTGACTTGATTAAACTTGTATCATATAAATATACAGTATAATATATTTAGCAATTATAATTTTTTAAATAAAAAATATGTAATGTTAATATTTTTTTAAATTATCAAATACACGTATCTTTGTTTTAGAAACATTATAGCAGTTCGTTATAGAAGGGTCTTCTGTAAAAATTTGTGCTATGGATCGGTAGAATTGACTGTTTATAGTAATTTAAAGTAGGAAAATACTCCAACTTATCGGAAGTAAAGACCGTGAAAAGAAAGTCCAATTCGTGTTTATTTATAGTCTTTTGTTATTTTTCAATCATATTCACCCCATTCCATTATTCACGAAACAATAAATCTGCACAAGCAATGAGGAAATGACATGGGTAACCTCTCCGTGTAACAAATAACATTGACCCATGGTGGGTTTGTGAGTTCCGGAAAATCATTTAGTTTCAGTGCAGAATGCAGTATGCAAAGAGTTGATAACTGATTTGATCTACACTTTGGTTTTTGATGCCCGATCAAATTTATATTAAAACCCTACTAATAGTCAATCAACACATGAACCAAAGTTTTCGTTTGTAGCACTATTTTATCATTCCATGTCTTTTCCTGTTCCATCATCTGTTGACATTCAATTTTAATTGTATGGTTAAATCTGCACGAAAATAATACGGTGTCCGGATTTTGATTCTTTACCTTAAAGTATAAATATATTCCGTTTCCTTTGCGTTTCCTTTTCTATCTTGTATATCATCAATCAAAGATTCCCAGAAAAGGAAAAACATGAATTTATCTAAACCTTCTACCTCTTCCTCCGCTGCCGATGCACCCGGCTTACTTTATGCTGGGTTCAACCAAGACTTTGGATGTTTTGCTGCGGGGTTGGATAGCGGGTTTAGAATATACAACTGTGATCCTTTGAAGGAAAAAATGCGTAAAGGTAAATCCTATTTTGATGCAATAACATAACAAATCAAGTGTTTCTAGATCTACACATTTCACCTGTTGTGATCCATTTTGAACGCAGATTTTGACGACGGTGGAATAGCAATAGTCGAAATGTTGTTTCGGTGTAATTATCTTGCTCTCGTGGGTGGTGGAAAGAACCCCAAATACCCGCCAAACAAGGTTATCATATGGGACGACTTGAAGAATAAAGCAATTGTAGAGTTAGAATTTCGAAGCGAAGTAAAGAATGTGAAACTGAGAAGGGATAAGTAAGAAATTATCTTTCTTTTCTTATTCAGAATTTTTATTAAGAAATTTCTTCTAATGTGGCTGACGTTAATATAGGTTTGTTGTAGCGCTGCCCAACAAAGTTTTTGTTTACTTATTCAGTGAGGATCCGACGAAACTTCATACATTTGAGACGATAGACAATGAAAAAGGTGAGTAAAGATCTTTGTTCGTGAAATGTTTGTCAGAAGTTAGCGTTGTGTCATCTCTTTACCAATCTGCGGCAGGTTTGGTTGCTCTTTCGTCGTCACCAAACCACGCCATATTGGCGTTCCCGGGTCGACAAAAAGGTCACATCCAAATTGTAGATCTCAATGCCTCCCATGCTACTACGGCCATAACAAGTAATACGCTTTCCGAAAAAAACTTATTATATTCTTCATCATTTCAAATCATAGACATTCATTCTCTTCGTCAGGTCTCAATGACCGGCAACAGTATTTTAACAGGAGACTAAGCGTCTCAAATAACTCTAAAATAATAGGTTCCGGTGCTCCAAGTGTAAATGGCAATATGACGGTGATGACCACCAACGTCAGCATTATTCCAGCACACGCAGGAAGGTTGAGTTGTCTGTCTGTAAATGCTGATGGTAGCAAATGTGCAAGTGCCAGTGAAAAAGTACGTTCAATATCATTATATTATACCTGTAAAGCATTTTCATTATTTATTTATTACATCAAGTTTATTATTAGGGAACACTAATAAGAGTGTTTGATACATCGTCCGGAAAATTACTGAACGAGTTACGACGTGGCGTAGATCGCGCGGAAATTTATAGGTTTTTATTGATCTAATCAAGAACTTGTCATGTTGACCCATGCAATTATCATTAATATTTAAGAAACGTGAACTTTAGTATCGCGTTCAACCAGGATTCAACGCGTTTATGTGTGTCATCTGACAAAGGAACAGTGCATATTTTTAATTTGGACGGTGCTTTAAATAACGGAGTAAGTAATTCACCGACCAATGGAGGTCCTTATTATGGGGAAGTTGTTGTCAAGTAAGTATTGTTCGTAAGAATTTAATCAATCATCATTTATATTATATTTACGATATTTATTGTCCTACAACAGTTCGAACATTCCATCTCCAAGTGGAAATCGGCAATCGAGGTAATATATCAAAAGAAAATGAATGTATTTTAGACCATTTGTAACCTATTTTTATAACTCGATTTTCCCCAGTTTTTCCTTCATGAAAGATTTACTTCCGAAATATTTTTCATCCGAATGGTCTTTTGCGCATTTCAAGGTGATGGCTGATTGCCGGTGCATTTGTGGCTTTGGACAGGAGAAAGATACAGTAATTGGTTGGTATACGCATGTCAATTGCCTATAGCATCATCAAAAATTTACCTTATGCTTAGTTAATAATTTTCTTCTATTATCTAGTGATTTGTGCAGACGGAAGCGTTTACAAATCTACTTTTGATCCACGCAAAGGGGGTGAATGTGTGAGGGAAGATTACAACAAATTTTTAAAAGATCAGGATGATTAAAAAACCTCAATTAATTTTACGTTGAATAATTCATGCGGGATTTGGCTTCCTGCTGGTCTAGTGTCATTTTCCTGTTTTATGCGGTATATGAATTGTCCCTTCTCCTTCTATTACATTTCTGAATTACAATTGCTTGAATCTTCATTAAAGATTCTTTACAATATGAAAATTATTAGTATGGGTATAAACAGGTTTTACTGGTATTCCATTTTATATATTTGTAATCAACAATTACCCTTGTTTATTATTTTATATATTTCATATGTATATGTATTGTATATTTTTTTATTTTATTTTTCACAGAGGAATGTTGGTATAATTTTTTTGATTTAATGTTCAGCATATTAGGGAATGAGGTTGGATATTTATATTTTAATTAATTTTACTTATACTAAACAGGATTATCTACGATATATTTATTGCAGTGCTTTTTGATTTAGTCAAGAGTTCAAAGTAACAATACAATTTTTTCCCGAATAGAATTTCAAAGAAGAAATTTTTATCTGCAAGCATTAAATGTTGTTGTTTGAAATAAAAAATAATAAAATTTTTTTTTTAAAAAAAAAAAAAATGTATTTTTTCCGTGATGAATTTATTTTAACACATGTCATATGATGTGTTATAAAAAAATTAAATGGTTCATTTTGACAACCATATTTAATTTAATCTGGATTAGTATATTTCATTTCATCCTGAGAAAAGAAAATATTAATTTTGATTTTAAAAAATCCCATCATTTTTAATCATTCATCATTTAAACATGCGAGTCCATTATTCATGCACAATAGTATTTTATTATATTATTATTCACTGAAACAACTTTTTTTGTGACATGATGCTAAGAAATTATTTGAATCGAATATTATTGCAGTTAACGGTGATAATGATTGTAGTTAAATAATGATGATTACGACCGAATTTTTCTGAATATAATGCAGGTATTTTTCTTGGAATAAAAGAGGGTTTTCGCGTTTTTTCTTGTGTGACTCAGAATTAATCTTCACTTCTAAAAAAAACCTATTTATATCAAGAATGTGGGACAGGATATTGTGAAACCTTATCAAGGAACTGGAGGGAGTTCACCTATCTATGCATTCACGGGAACCTTCGAACACTTTGCAAATGTTATTTGCAGATACGTCGCAGCAAAGCGCTGAGGATGTATCTGGAAATAACATAGCGTTTGACAAAGAATCGAATACTGATGATCAAAATGATAGCTTGGACCAAAAGAAACTGACCATATTATCCGGAAAGTTTAGTTTGGCCATAAGAAAAAGTTGGAATAATGAATTTACAGAAGCCGAAAAAATTTTGGAAAAGCACAAAGACGGAGTTCCTCGGTGGAGTGTCGCTTATGCCGAAATTCAATTGGTCAAGCATTTAATGACCGGCCAAGTTTCGGACAATGAAACTCCAGAAATAACTAATTCGCTTGCGGCGGCTGAAAAATTGGCCACCAAAGTTGTCGAGAATAGAGACGATTTTGTAGGGTTTAATTGTTATTGTAATAATGTTTTTGCACGATTGATATCTTTCTCATCGATGCCATGATATTTATAGGAAACTACGCTCGCAGTGTTCAGAAACGATATCTGGAAAATAGATATCAAACCCAACAGTACATCAGCGGAAGATGAGGCAACGTTCGCATCACTTCGAGTTAATTATCGGTGGGACTGTGAATTAGCATTGGCGGATATTCTCCTGTTCAGATCTGTTTTACAGGTGGTCGGAGGTAACGAGATCAAAGGAGCGTTTAATTTACGTAAGGCTTGGAAAACGTATTGTAGAGTGAGGGATGAGATTGCTCAGGTTAAGAGAGATATAGGAAAAAATGGCATTTATAAAAATGATAGTGCAAATAGCAGCCGGTGGAGTCTTGGAGACGCTCTTTTAGGAAGGAGAGGTAGTGTCGGTAGTATAGTTGGATTTGGTGGTGGTAGGGAGGGGTCGAGTGTTTCGCAAGATGCCTGCAATTCGATAGAAGTTGACCCTGATGTCGAAGATTGTCTCGAATTTGGCCTTGGATTATTTCAATTCGTCGTTTCGATAGTGAGTTCAGAACATCGCAGTTTCTTTTATGATTAAGATTTTAATGTTGATTCATTATTTCGTAATTTTTATCATGTCGGTAGGTTCCCGGTTCTTTCCTGTCCATGTTGAGAACCTTTGGATTTAATATTGATCGCGAACAGGGCATTAGAATGTTGGAAAATTGCTATTCTCGTGGTGGTTTCAGAGGTGGGCCCTAGCTGTACATCGTGCTTGATGAGATCATGAATATTTAAATATTATCTAATCAAAATATTGTTTTAGCGCCATTCGCATCATTATTCCTTTTTGTCAATTATCTTTTCCTTACTCGTGGTCTTTCCGATCCAACATCCTCGTTAACAAGGGCTGGTGTAATCTCCAAGGAGTGTGTCGAAAAATATCCGTAAGTGATTATATTTTTCAACGTAGATTTGTGTGATACTGAGATTCTCTTATAATCATCATTTCATATTTGAACAGGAACAGCTCACCGTTCCTTTTCATGGCTTGTCAGCAAGCGCGCAAAGTTGGCAACATAAAGGAAGCCATAGACTATATATCAACTAGCATCAAAAGTTGTGAAGAGGTTGGAGTCACGAGCACAAATCATAGATTTGAGATGGGTATGACGTATTTGGTGAACCTCGATTTTTCATCCGCAAAGGACATATTTGAATTGCTTTTCTATGGCAATACCATTTTATTCGCTGGCAAAAGAGGATCCATACGTCTTCACGGGTCTATTCGTGAATCCATGCGACCTTTTTCAAAGAAAGGCAGTATGAAAAAAGACAAATCATTCCTTCAACTTTTCGAATTTGAGCTGAGACCATTTTGTGGGTTGTGTTTGGCAGGCTGTTATCTTTTAGTTAAATCTGGTGAGGGAGCGATCAAGGAGGCTTTAGATGTTTTAAGACAAACCAAAGAAATGACCATTCCAGAAATAGAGAATAGTAGCATCGCTGATAGTATTGGACTACTGGGAACGAGCGCAAGTGAATTCGTGAGACTTGGTACCGGAATCACCGGCGGAGATAAGAAAGATAAAAAGGTAAATAATACGCAAAATCAAGGAATAATAGATTAAATAGGAGGTTTGTCAAGGGGATCTCTATTTAATCATTTTTCCGAACACCAATAATATTCAGAACAAAACCAATCGTTATAACAAATTTGCCGGTCGGCATTCGGCTAAAGATGTAGGAAGAAATACGGTATCACCCTTTATATTATTTGTAATCCTCTATCTACGTCGAGATATATTTTATATGCCAGTAGAATTAAAGGATCGATGGTCAGAAATGTTGGAGACTATATGGGCGGTAAGAATCTTTTTAAATAATAACAAATGGATGTGCACGGTCGCTATAGAAAATTTTATTTACCATGTAGAAAATTGAGAAGCCCACTGATCCTGACACGAATGCTGTATATTTATTACTTCGCGGCGTTTTTGAAAAATTCTTAAATCCCAATCCCGACGTGGCTCAAGAATCACTTTATGAATGTTTGACTTTAGAATCCGGAATCGTAAATGAGACATGGGTCATTCCCCATTGTAGATACGAGGTTAGATTCTTTTTTTTTTTTTAAAAAAAAAAGACCTAATGAACCTGTAACCTAATGAGTTTCGTTAATTCTTGTTTAAAGCTTGGGGAATTACTTTACAAGAAATTTGGAGACGAAGAGGCCGCCATGGAACAATTTAAATGGATTCTCAACGGGTCAAGACCAATATCTCGCGGAGGTCTAGTGCCCCGAAGGGATAGCAGTATCAGTGTATCGTCACTTGCGTCAAGATCTTCGATTGATTCCAATGCATCATTCTATTTGTCGAATAGTCCAGACCGGTTCAAGAAATATGAATTTGCCAAAGCCCTTAAAACTCGGTGCTCGATGGCGGCCGAACAGATCCGCGGAGGAACAGTTCAGCCTACAGACACACAACCACAGCCACAATCACAACCACAACCACAACCATTCATAAATCACAGTCGAAAGAAATCCGGGTCGGCCTCAAGTTTACTTAAGGAGTTGCACGAGCAAACAATTCAGAGCAAGTTGTACGAACAGAGGATGACTTTATCTTCTACTGCTGAAATCGTAAATAATGACGGTAACAGTGATAGTGAGATACAGAGAAGTAGGGGTGAGCAAAGTAAAGTTGAAAATGAGATCACCGAGGAAGATGAAGGTGTCTCATTCTCTCCATTCAAATTTAAAAAGCGGCACAAACCAAGATCGCAGAGCTTACCTCAGAATGACATTGTTGGTAAAGAGAGTAAAAGCAACAAGGGTAATGTTAAGGCACTTAAGAATAAATTTACTGGATTTAAATTCCGGTAATTTATACGTTAAGACATTTTCTATATTGAATAGGTTGATACATAATAGCTCTCTTCACTTAATTCTATCGACTTTGTATTTGTTGTACATATTTTGCTCATTAAAAAAAAAGAGTCAATATATTTAATTTTTAATTTTTAATTGTATAATAATAATAAAAATTTATCGGACCAATTAACGATCCCTGATCGACATAAAACTATTTACGCCAATCAATTCAGAACATGGAACAGAAAAATGAATCAATTTCCACTCGTGCCATTAGACAAAAACTCATTTATCGTTAGGAATTGTAAACGGAGATTAGATCAATTGTTCATATATTCTAATATTGTAACGAACCAAGTTTTGCTTACAGTTGGAAGGACCTTGAAGGTGATCATTGTCATTATCGCTGTCATACATTTTCGCGTTGCTCTCCTCAATCTCATTTCAACAAAACTACAATAGACCAAATACCTAAAATCACAAATTACAGATGCCAAGCAACGCCCTCACAAAATCCGTCGTGATTTCTGGAAACCAATTATAGCTGTCACCGGGTTTAGTTCCTACACGTCGGTGATGACCACCAACAATATAATTCAACACAAAATCCGTACTTGTCCTAAACCTCGCGACTACTATCAATTGGAACGCAAGGCACGTATGCAAGATGACATGAATCAACTGGAGAAAAGCGTTTACGGCTTGTGTTATGCGATCAATAGTCTCGTGCATACCAAAGGATATGAACAGGAGGAATCCAGTAAACTTACGATATATTGGGAACGGTTTGCATTGAAGGACTTACCCTCAAAAGATGGGATAAAGTGGCCAATGTGTGTAAGACATGAGAAGTTAATGCTCAAGAGAGGAACGATTATGTTGAATAAAGAGTTTAAGGTGGTACAGAAACCTGAGGAAGTTAGAGAGGCCATAAGGAAGGAGAGATATTTGAAGAGTAGAAGGGGAAGGATTGAGGCGGAGAAAAATGCAAAGAAGCAGGAAGCTGCTAAACAAGCACCAAGAAAAGAGAACGTTGGAGATGGTACAGATGGTAACGGTAGTGTTGTCAAGTTGGACGGTAACGGTTCTGAGGGTGGACAACAATCGACTGTATGAACGATAACAACAAACCCGAATAAAGTGTGGAGGTTTCTATAAATTTCTGAAAAAAATGATCTTTATTCGGCATGTGTGAAAATTTCAGAAAGTATATAGTCTTTTCCTTTTCTTGAGTAAACCTTTATTGCTAATTTCTTGTTATCTCATTTTTCTTACAACTTTTCAAGAGTTTTTTTTGAATTTATTATTATTTAAACGGTTAATATTGTTAATTTATTTTTTCTATATTCTTTAATTTAAGTTCCATTTTTTGATGTTCGCTCAAGTCTCCTGATCGATCACGTTTCACTCAATCCTTTTGTTCCTAAAATCACATGACCTGGTTCAATTAAAACAAGTATAAATATGCCCTCTATTCTGACCAAATGTCCTATTTTTCAAATTACATACTGCGGATTCTAATAATACACTAACCAATCAATAACCACGAAAGATAAATCAAAATTATTATTACAAGAACGAGAAAGAAAATATCAAGGAGTACCATTTTTTAAATTGAACAATTAATTATGCACATTATTCATATATTTATCATTGCAATTATCATGATTATGATAATGGGATGTTGCGTTTCGTCCATGGAACATCAGGAGACAAAAGTGGAAAATCAACTTTCGCAAGTAGAAAATCTATTATCGATAATTAAAAATTCACTTAGATTGATCCTATTAATAATTGAAAGTTTAATAGAAATATCTAAGAGATACCTAGTATTAAAAGAATTGTGGGATTTTTGAATCAAGATGGTTTTTAAAAATTGAGAATACCCCAAAGAAGTTTAAAGAAGAATTACGAATATTCCAAAAACAAAAATTTAAAGAAGAATTAAGAATACACCAAAAAAAGTTTAAAGAAAAATTGCGAATATTTCAAAATCAAAAGTTTAAAGAAGAATTGAGACTACTAAAGAAGAAATGGGACTACTAAAGAAGAATTGAGATGATTACTAAAGATAAATTGAGACTACTAAAGAAGAAACAAAACTATTAAAGAAATAAGATGACTATTAAAGAAGAATTGAGATGATTACTAAAGAAAAATTGAGACTACTAAAGAAGAAACAAAACTATTAAAGAAATAAGATGACTACTAAAGAAGAATTGAGATGATTACTAAAGAAAAATTGAGACTACTAAAGAAGAAACAAAACTATTAAAGAAATAAGACGACTACTAAAGAAGAATTGAGATGATTACTAAAGAAAAATTGAGACTACTAAAGAATTGAGACTACTAAAGAAGTATTGAATTGAGGATACTTCAAAAAAGCTTAAAAAAGAATTTAGAATGCCCCAAAAAAGTTTAAAAAAGAATTGAGAATACCTCAAAAAAAGTTTAAAAAAGAATTGAAAATGTTCCAAAACAGTTTAGCGAATGTTCCAAAACAGTTTAGCGAATATTCCAAAACCAAAGTTTAAAGAATTGAGAATATTCTAAAATTAGAATATTCCAAATCAAAAGATAAAAAAGAATTGAGAATATTCCAGAGAATATTCCAAAATTAAAGAAAAAAGAATTGAGAATATTCCAAAATTAAATGATTAAGTATTCAAACTCAGAGGATTAAAGAAGAAAAAAAAAATATTACAAAATTAAAGGATTTAAAAAGTATATAAAAATTAAAGAGGACAGATTTTTTTTTTTTAAAAAACTCATTTTGGAGTTAAAGAGAATTTAGAACAAACTAAAACAGAAAAGAAGTTAGAACATACTAAATTAAAACATATCCGGAATTAAAGAGGAATTGTGGATACAGCAGGAATTAAGAAAAAGTAAAAATATATTTGGATTTAAAAAAGAGCTGAAATATATATTAGGAAAAAAATTGACAAGAATAATTTGAAGATTGATGAGGAAATATCAATAATTAACAAGGATACATCAAGGATTAATAAGGATATACTGTATATCAACGAATAATAAGAATTTACGAAGATTAACGGAAAAACAAAAAAACCTGTAAAGCACTAGTGAAGAATCAGAAAGGAAGATATCGTGTATATTCAAGCAAAAAGGAGCAAATGTGTGTGGCCGATAAAATATGAAGAATGAATGAGAGAGAGAATACTTTGGGTCAAAGGACTAAAACATATAACGAATGCTGAAAGAAATATAAAGAAAAGAAGATAAGTTTGTGCTTGTACAGTGTGTACGGTCGTACTGTATGTACACGTGATTTATTAATGATATCGGAAATAATATTTTTAATTAATGCGCATTAATTTCGATCATCTACTTAATGTACAGTATATTGAATTGCTACTATTACATGCTAAGCGTTTAAACTGTCGATTCAAAAATCGTAATACCGTTAGCAAATCAGATAACAAAAAAGTTGGTTGTCTAAGGCCCCCACAAACATAACTTTGCATCTTCGCCACCGGTAAGAAAAATGTTTGTCTGAAAACCGAAAATTGTATGCGTTAAAATAACTCGTATTAAGATTGATAAAATATTCGGGGACGAACCTTTGGATTCCAGAAAACACTACGAATAATTTCAGAATGTCCACCACTCAGAGTTTGGCATAATTGTAATTCATTTACGGCCACGTGTAATACACCCAAGACCCCACTAGATGAGCGGAAAAGGCAATTTAGAATTTCGCAAAATTGCTGAATATCATCAAATAATGAAAGATACTCACGTTTGGGATCCAGTAAATAGAAATAGTCGATTTGTGGAACTGTCAAATTGACAATCTATAGCGTAGTCAATAGGGACCGAACTTTGCCGAACATCTCCAAAATCACAAAGTAAATTACACTGTAATATTGAATGTCCTTAGATACAAATTTGAAAATCGTCATATTCGGAAAGAAAGTAAACATATTCTGACATACTTCAGAAGCTCCCCATAAACTAAACGTTTCCGTGTGAGTCAAGCAATATACATATTCGCCATCAGACCCAAAGTATCCTGCTTTACTTATTGAAGAACTGGAATTTATCACACCACTTAATTCGTTGTCCTCGTCAAAGTTCTTTAGATCAAAACTACATATCAAACCATCCACAGAGCCACTGATCAGCTGCGAAGGGCTCGTCGGATGAAATTGAATTTGAGTAATATCATCATTATGCGATTCGACAAACTGGGACATAATTGAAGAATTCCTCAAGTCCCTAATGGAAAAAATTCTTAGCAGAATTGTTCAATTCGTTAATTAAAAGAAATCAATCATCCTGCGCACCAGAAAATTATTTTCGCATCCTCGTTAAAAAGTTCTGTGCCGGCTGCCAAGATTGTGTCTAGATTGTTAACGTCGAAAGATAATAAAGGTTCCCTTTTTCCGGCTGGAGAATGAATTCAGAACTTGATCAAAATTACATCTCCGATAAGAACTCAAGATTAAAATATAATACCTTGAAGCACTTGCACTGGTTCGCTGTTCGGTACTCGCAAATCCCATATCGCGATGCGACCATCCTTTGAGCTAGAAATCAATAAATGATCTTTATGTATTTTCAGTTTCGTAACTGTATCGGTGTGAAATGCCAATTTTCCATTGAACGATAAGGAATCATTATTATAATTCCATGAGTGAAGCTCATGGTTTGAGCCTGATACAACACAGAAGGTCGAAGTGGCAGAAATATCGAAAATGTAGGGTAATTCCTTCTCCTGAGGGCAAAAAAGTTCAGAAGCTTTCTGATTTACTTTTGGTAGTAAACCCGATGCAATTGAAAAATTCATATTCACAGATTATCGTATCGTGAGATCATGTGTTTTTGTTTTACATGCAAGCAGATTACTATAAATAGACAAGTTAATATATTAACTGTATACAGTATATTGTATACATTTAAAATTTGTTTAGTTTCGAGATCATAGTGTATATTTATTAATATTGAACCCAAAATTCATTGATAAATAATCGGATCATATACCTACCCTTCTCTTTCTTTTGCCAAAATTTAAGACTTTATTGTAAATTACCATAATTACATGATTATAAATTAATAAATACATTTTTTGGAGCTAAGAATGCTTCATCACCAAGTTTGCAAAATCGGTTCTACTTTCGTATTTTTGACATCACAATCCTTAATAAATTTCGCCAGAATTTTCCAATTTGTGCAATAATTCTTTTAAATTCTTTCCCGCCTTATTACTATTCAAAGCTAAATATTCCTCAAATTCTAGTCGAATGTCTTTTAATTCTTGCGTGATCGGTAACCGTCCATCAGATCGAACCATCGTGGGATTTAGCAACATATTGAACAATCTTCGCCAGAGGTCACTCTGCCAATATCGTTTAAACGACTGTATCGGTCTATACTTTTTTGTTGACATTGACGAAGCTCCAGGCGAAAATGTTTCTTCATCATCGACTCGTACGGGTGTTATTTGCATGTATTCATTGTGTAACATGCAATGAATGACTCCCGCCAGACCATAGTAATCTGCCTGCCACTTCCATGGTCTGCCTTCACGCATTTCGACGCAATCTTGATCATCCGTCTTCCAATCGGCTATGAACCTCATGTCCGACGGGAACATTGTCACGTCGATGGCGCGCCCAAAATCGATCAATTTTATCCCCTTTTTAGCCCAACCGTGAGCACCCGTTGGATCGTATTTAGAGTCCCACTCGGATGTCGGTTCTAATCTTAAGAGACAATTATCGGCCTTGATGTCACCATGTATTATACCAATCTGATGAATCGCTTCGGTTACTTTCAGTAATTCTACGGTGAAGAAGAATACCAACATTTCGTCCATAAATGTATTGAATTTTTTAGCTGCGTTGACAGCATCCAATATGGATCCGTGGTTACAAAATTCTGTAAGCAAGTAGCTCTCGTCCTTGTAGTAATACAATGATTGAGCCGTTATAATAGAGTCTATCGACGGTGAGGGAATTCGGTCGTGCAATTTCCTGATGATATAGAACTCCCAAGCACTAGGGGGCATTTGAAGTTTTAAAGCATAAGATCTTCGTAAATCTTTACAAACAGCGGCGTCCGTATTCATATCCAACACACGATAAATCTTGCCAAATCCACCTTCTCCAACTTTCTGACGAACGAGGAACGAATCGTTAAAGAGTTTGATCGAATCTTCGATGTTTGCTGCATTTAATGAACGACGGCGACCGGATTTTCCCCAGCACCGGGCGATCTTTTCGATTTTTCCATGACCATTCATGGTTTGTTCTCGGGCGTCGTAAAAACCGGAATATTGGGCCAGTGCAGGTTTAAGTGAGTTCAGAATCTGTTCAATTAAATTCGAATCCAGCGGATTGCAGGGATTCGAAAGCGTCGGGTATAATGATACCAAAGCACTAAAGTGCTCCTCTATGGTTTTTTCGGATCGCCTCGATGGTGAAATTGCATTAAACCTTATCTCGCCAAGCCCTACCGCGCTATTGGGAGATCCAATGTTCGATACGGTGCGACTTTCTGACAAACGAAATGGCGTCGTACAATTTGATTTGTACTCGCGACTCGTTTCCTGTATTGGTGTCATCAGTTCAAATGGAACCCTGCGAATATTATCGCGTACTGGTGCAACATTTTCGGCATCTTCTTTAAATGCCGGAGGGATACCGTGGTTTTGCGGTGTCTTTGGAACATCAGACCTTTTTCGTCTCGGCGTTTGATCATTTGGCATGTGACTGTTTTCATCTTCTTTGTAGTCTTCGCTGTGTTCACAATTCAGCGGCTGATTAAACAGCTCCATTATATCAGCAAAGGCAGCCTTCGTGTTGATCGTGGGCGATGGTCGTTTTGAAAGTTTCCTTGGATGCAACACTAAATTCAAAGATCAGATTAGAAACAAGAAAAACCTCGAGGCTCAAAGTCTTCATTACTCACATGTCGGGCTCGTCTTGGGTGTTGGTTCGTAACACTCGTTGCTCTTTCTGCTTAGGGATTTTTGAGGTTCTATTGCTCGATCATTTGTAGGCTCAACTTTGGTCTCTACCTTTGATTCACGAGTTTTTGCCCTAAGCTCTTCGAACGAGTATTCCTCACCATTGGCATAAATTACATTTAAGTCCACGAATATCTTTTCGCTCCGTCCTTCTTTATGCCTAATTATGGTGACCGACGGAGGTGGTTTTACAGCTACATTGTGTGAGTGTGTCACATTTTCCGTCGCCGAACGCGGTTTCTCGGTTGAATTAGATGACAAAGTCATGGCAGACGAGGAAGCATCTGTATTTTCAGTTATCGGACATGATTTTGTTGAAGTCGCGACAACTGAACAAGGAGCTTTTTGTTCTGCGGACTAAATAATCAAACAATTTAATTACAAATATACAATTTCGAATAGACATGTGTATGAGATTTATAATACTTGATCATGATAGATTTCCAGCTTTTCCATCATCGGCATACGATATTTCTTCTCTTGAACCAGCGTAACTCCTTTCCATGGCTCTGCTTCTTTTGCGTTTTCCTTTTTATTGCTCAGCTCTGTCCCAAAATCTCCCCAAGACGCCACTTTTTCCGACACCAGGGCAGCATTGCCTATTTCGCCGTCGGGGTCACAGAATATTATTAATTTTTCCCCGTTTGCGTCAGCTTCCGAGTGCTGATCTGTCATTTGAGTAGCTGATGACATCAAGCCATTAATATTTTGCGGAGGTGGATTCCTCTGATGAAATATGTTCATTGGCGCGGAGTGTGTTGAGGTTGAAGAGGTTCTCAAACCAAGAATGGTTCGCTGTGGGTTCTCGCTGACCTGCTGATGACTGGGTTCAGAATCTTGGAGGGAACTTAGTCGCGTCAAAAATTGTCTGTAACGACGGGTCAGACGTTCAAAAGGTTGTGCTTTTCGACCTATACCCATTAAATAGATCTCCTCTGCTTCCTTATACCTTCGAAAATGGATGCGGTGGATGGATAGAATCACATTTCAAGCTTTTTGCGGAACGAACAGCAGAATTTTCGTGAACACTCACTTATTTAATCCTTCCATTAATTCAGCGTATGCCTCGTAATAAGCGGCCAAGTCCATTCCAATACCATTGACTTTCAAGAACATGAACAACTCTTTTGATTGTCCGACAAGTTTCGAATATTGCAGCCAACACTTTAAATATCTTGGGTCGTTTTTATAACGCGTATCTTTAATAAAAGTTTTCGAAGCGCATTCCAATAATTGTAGTAGATTGGATTGAGGAGTTTGCCCTTGGGGATAATTCTCCATTGTCCATTTTATATAGCGGTTATATACGTCGAAAGGATCGTCAAGTTCGTCGGTCATTTCAAGCTCAGCCTTAAACTGCGCGTGACCAGCTTGCAATTCTGCCTGACGGGAGGGGGGGTCACTGGCAAAAACTCGAGACAAGGAACTTGCGCTGCGACCTTGTTTCATCGGAAATATGTTTTCTTTCTGGTGTTCAAATGACGAGAATTCTGGTATATTGGCGACCTCCTGAGATCTCAGTTGGCAAGATTGATGCGAAAGTTCATTTTCGTATGCATCCATCATTCGATTTAAAAATGCCATGGGAAGGACAGACAATACTTGTTTATATCTCGAAAACGTCACGCGTCACCTCTAACCACGTGACATTTAAAAAATTACAACGCATATTATTGGCGATTATCTACCGGAGAAGTTAAACAACTATCTTGTTGTCATTGAACCTCCTAAAGTTCCAAAGTTCCGCTGTTGGATGTTTTCAACATTCTCCTTTTTATTTATACTTATTGGGCGATGAAATCCTAAATTCATCCTCATCTTTCAATGCATATTAAGAGGATTTCTATTTGCGGATATTTGTCATTACGTATGTAGTAATTCGCCGATCTTAAACATTATATACAGTATATTGTCCTATGCAAATACAACGATACATATTTACCATTCAAAAAAGAAATGGGAATTATCAACGGTCTCCGCCCCTTGGAAGAACTCTTTTCCAGAAATGATGGTTATCCCACCGCGTCCTCTACGATTCAGGTGTGCCTTTAATTGTGTGCCTTCCCTTGAAAAAAAAACAACCGATTGATGTGTTTTCTCTTTCGTCAGGCTAACACCGAACGATCAGTGTATGAGCTGTTTAAAGAGGTCAAAGACGATCAAACTGTAGATCAGTAAGTTCTCACAATGAACTTATTACCCGTGTTTTATGCTAATTTTCGCGTTTTAATGTTTCGTTTCTCTCGAAGAGTAAAATTGGACCGGGACACACACATCGAGTACGTAAGAAATAGTCTCGACGGTCTCAATAGATATTTCGTGATTTTAGATGCGAGTAAACCCTGGCTTTGTTATTGGATGTTTCATTCCTTGGATTTACTCGGTTATGAAATTGGCAGTGATCTCATCAAAAGGTACGTATAAACTTTCTTCCGTAATTTTCTAATGAGTCGCACTAAAACTTTCCAAAATTGGCAGAGGTATCTCGACCATCTCCAAGATGCAGAACAAGACCGGTGGATTTGGCGGCGGACCTGGCCAAATATCACACGCCGCCGTAACCTATGCTGCCATAAACACGTTGGCGATCCTAGGAACGAAAGAAGCTTACGATCTTATCGACAGGTATTTAATATTACTTACGTATCTGGAAAAATTTATTTATGAAAATTTTGTTTACACTGGATGAGTAAATTTCAGAGACAATCTTTACAAATGGTTTCTCAAATTAAAACAACCTGATGGCTCTTTCATAATGCATGAAGGTGGAGAGGTGGACATACGGTAAGAATTCTGTCCCTTAATGCTCGTGAAATCTTCGCATATTTAAACATCTATGTTTGACAGAGGGACATACTGTGTTCTTTCTGCGGCCACGCTGACCAATCTAGTTACACCCGAGTTGACCGCAGGAACAGCAGAATGGATCAAGAGGTAATTGATTTATTGAACCCGACACGCCAGAAATTTCAGATTTTTGCGCTGACCTTCTTTCTATGCGGAAATAAGGTGTCAAAATTTTGATGGAGGAATTGGTGGTGAACCTGGAATAGAAGGACATGGCGGATACGCTTTTTGCGGACTTGCGTCCATGGAGATGATGGGAAAATCCGATATGCTCGATATTCCACTACTGCTTGTAAGTGTATGCAATTCAATTATCTATTGTGACTGAGGCCAACATATGACTCTCTTATGTAGCATTGGGCTTCTTCACTTCAAATGCAAGTCGAGGGAGGTTTTCAAGGGCGTCCGAATAAATTGGTGGATGGATGCTATTCGTTTTGGGTTGGTGCCCTGTTCCCTGTGCTGGAAGCTATTTTGACTAGGCAACGATATAAAAAAAATGAACCTGATGAAGAAAATTTAGGTTATGTTGGTAGGCAATTTTGAATTTAAAATAGTATTCACGATAATTCAGATTTACTTAGCACCTATATCATCACTGTATTATCAGCCCAATCATTATTTGACAGAGGTAATTCAATTATTTCTTCTTGCATTATTTTTGATGCCATCCAATAACCTTAAGATATAAAATAGAGGCACTACAGGAATATATCCTGATAGCCTGCCAGTATCCAAGAGGCGGTCTGATCGACAAGCCAAAAAGATCACCGGATCATTATCATACATGTTATTGTCTGAGTGGTCTTTCCACCTCACAAAATCATGTGATTTATGATATTGAAGAGGAGATGGAAAAAGGAGTTACTAATCCCGGTGCAAGGTCTCTGTTATGGGCTGAAGACATTGCAGGCACTTTTGTCATAGGTGACCCGGAAAATCTTGTGGTAAGACTTTTTCCTTGTGCTTATTGCGCTTAGTCCATAACTATGTCATGTTATATTAATCAAGTATTTGTAATACGCGTTATCAGAAAGCTACTCATCCAATTCACAATATCACTCTGCCTCAAGTCCAAAAAATAATTGAATATTTTTATGGGAATAATATTGATTCCTCCAAATAAAGAATTAATTTAATAACGATATGCGATGTTTCATATAAAAAACAAAAAAAACTAATTTACGTATTATTTCCAAATTTATTTACTGTATTTATTATACTGCTATACTGCACCATATTGCAATAAAGTTAATGCTTCTATATTCAAAAAACCAAAAAATTAACTCCTCTGCCATCGCATCGGCAACACGTAAAATAAAGTTCGCGTTTGAAAACAAAAACAGGCATTTTTCGTGACGTGTAATATTTCTATAAATACGTGGATCAATTAATTTTGGATTGATCCTCGATTCACAAAAAATGCTAAAAATCGAAAAATTCGAAGAGAAGACGATACCAAGCGTGCCTTCAAAACTCTTGCTAACAGGCTCGCACAATCTAACACCACCACCTCACGAAGAATATCAATATTTAAATCTTATCCGTCGCATAATAGAATTCGGTGAACGTCGTGAGGATCGTACGGGCACCGGAACACTCTCGATCTTTGCACCACCTCAACTGCGTTTTTCGTTGCGTGATAACATCCTCCCGTTTTTAACTACTAAACGCGTTTTCTCGCGCGCCGTCATAGAAGAGTTACTCTGGTTCGTCAAAGGAAACACCAACAGTAACCTCCTGGCTGAAAAAAACATTCACATTTGGGATGGTAATGGTTCACGCGAGTTTTTGGACAAGAATGGCCTGTCCCATAGAAAACAAGGAGATCTAGGTCCGGTCTACGGTTTTCAATGGCGTCACTTTGGCGCGGAGTACGTCGACTGTGATACAGACTACACCGATCAAGGTGTTGATCAACTTCAGGAGGTTATTAATAAGATTAGATCTAATCCTCAGGACAGGCGTATCATTTTAAGTGCTTGGAATCCTTCTGGTATGTCTAATCTATGTACTTTTTACACATGAATCCCAAAATCTTTTACGTACACTAAACATTCACTCTATTGGTTTAATAGATTTAAAGAAAATGGCATTGCCTCCGTGTCACATGTTTTGTCAATTTTATGTGTCAAACCCAAATCCCGAAACCCATAAAAGAAGTCTATCGTGTCTTTTATATCAACGTTCATGTGATATGGGCCTCGGGGTTCCCTTTAACATAGCAAGTTACGCTCTCCTGACAAGAATGATTGCTCATGTGACCGGGACTCTACCGGGAGAATTGATCCACACTATGGGAGATGCACACGTCTACATTGATCATATTGAGGCACTCAAGATCCAAATCGAACGAACACCCCGAGAATTTCCCCATTTGGAATTTAAACGCGAAATAACAAACATCGATAACTTTGAATATGAAGATTTCAACATAATCGGTTATAAGCCTCATGGTCAAATTAAGATGAAAATGTCAGTTTAAAAATTTAAATTACCAGAAAAGTTCAATGTTCCACAATATGTATTTTCTTCTGTATATAATTGTCAAGAAAAAAACCATTTATAAATAGTCTTATAAATAGATATACACTTAAACATTGTAAGCGACAAACTTACCGAATCCAAAGTATCCCCTAGGAAATCTTCTAGGAAATTTTTTTCATTGAGCGATGGATACTCCGTCAGTAATTCTCGGATCTTGATCGGCGGACTCAGTCCAAGTTTATGAGCCCTTTCCCAACGATCTAATCTTCTTACTCCTAGGCACGGACCATATTTGTACTCCAGATCAAATTGTTGAAGAATCGCATCGGCCGTGAGTTCGTCACGAGAGACTTTGCGTATTCAAACATAGACGTGTCGGAGTTTGTATGTGAATAACACATTTCGAACACATGCGCGGTGTCTCAAAAATAGGAACTGTTCATACCTCCTTTCTCAAGTGTTATTATTTGTTGGTCGAATTCATGAGTGAATGCAATTTCGTCGCCTGTTCCTTCTGATTCATTTAGCGACTCGTTCGCCGCTTCATAACGCTTCTCGTCGACTGCGGTGCCTTCGCCTGTAGCACCCTTCGCGGCGACCTTGAAATTCTTTTTGTGTTTTTTTGAAGTGGAGAGGACGTCGGTGAGTTTTTGCTGAACTGTTTTTCGTGGAGACATGTCTGCTAATCCAGCTGGAACTGCGGCCTTGGTTTTATAAAGAGTTTGACCGACCAATCACAATCTTGCCATTGAAATACGTGAATATACCAAATATGATATACAGTAATTCTTATTATTCATTATTTATTAACTAATTAACTAATTAAATTGAATTTTCAAGTATCATTGATGAAAGGAAGAGAGATGACAAACAGGAATTATCAAATCATATAAATACATTTATCAGGAAAAAAAATTATCGAAAACGCATTATAATAAGACTGATCAATGAGTGCATATTTCAAAGCAGCGGTAGTTCAATTTACATTTCTAATGTTTCACGTTAAGGACTATCTTGCCAACGCTTTTTCCCGATCGCATAAGGGTCAATGCTTCGACAGCATCATCAAAGTCAAACTCATGTCCAACATATGGAGGATCTAATTCCAACTCTTGGAGACGATCAAAAATCTGACCCAGTCGCTCTTCATTTCCGTAAAGGTAAATCAAATTGAAGCCGAGTAACTGCATTAAGGGTAGGTAGGGTCCACGTCAAAAAATGGAGAAAAAGAATCACTCAAGAATTTATCCATGGATGACAACTCACCGACTTGTTATCTCCCACGAGTTTTAATGGATCAACCTTGGGCCTCCAAAGATACTTCCATCCCAATCTCAGCCATTGAAACATATTCCATATTGGATGAAGATTATCGGTTGGAGTATAGCTTGCCGAGCCATATATAACCAATCTACCCTCTCTGTTCAATAAATTATAATTCGGCCAAAACCAATCCCCCATGACACTATCCAATACAATGTCAAAGAATTCTTCATTTTTAGATGTTATCTGAGACAATGCTTTTTTAGCCCGTGCTTCAAAATCCTTGGCGGGATCTCGCAGGATGAAGTTAAAATTTGGATTCTCCCCGTATTTTTCATTCAATAAGTCGAGCTTAGAGGGCATCCCCACGGTACCCACCACCTTCGCCGATCTTTTGTTCAGCATCGAAAGCGCAAGCATGCCGCATCCACCGGCCGCGGAATGTACCAGGACGGCTTGATTCGGTTTAAGCCGACCAAGCTCTTCTAGTGCGTAGAAAACCGTCAACCCTTGGACCTTGGTAGATTATTCGTACGTTAGGTCAAATATTCTGGCAGAAAGTTAATTTTCGGACAAAGGAAATAAAATCTGACCACATAAGCACAGGCTTGCTGATCGGTCCACCCCTTTGGGGTTTTTTTCACGTACGAACTTTTTGCATTGATATACGTGGCGTAACCTCCAAAGTATGTCACACCATAGACACGCTTTCCCAACCACTCTTCTTCTTTCAACCCCTTACCGACGTGTTCAACCACACCCGAGAATTCCAAACCTGGCGTAAAAGTTCCCTTGGGTGTAGCAGAGTAAAGTCCAACTACAGCAAACATATCAGCAAAGTTGAGGCCACAACACGAAACTTTTACACGAAGATAATCAGGCGGCGGTGGTTCAAGACCATCCTCTTTTATCTTGAGATTGTTAAAAGTTCCGGTCTTTTCTATGATCCAAACTTTCCGCAACTGATAGGTCATTTTCCACGAACGATACGATGAAAAAATCAGATTTGATCAAAAATTTCAAAAATTCCTAGCGACTTTTTCTCTGCTAAGCCACCTCCCCGCTAGCATGAAAAAGGAATGAGTGATTTGATAGATAGGTATTAATGTAGAGAACAATCTCCACCATGTAGTCACAAATCTAATAAAATAAACTTTATTAAAATTTAAGACATTTTTTCGACTCAATTTAGAAATGAATGTATTGTTTTATTACAGTATCTATTTCTTTTTGGGGGGAACACGTGGAACACCTTCCAAGTTCGCGAAATCGTAGTTTTTTTCCATCAAATGTACTTACTGATTAGTTTGTCCTTTAATGCTCTCCTAAAATAATTATACGAAATCGTTGCTACTAACAAACTACCAACCATCTACCTATCATTATTACGGACCATCATTGAAAATAAATACACGAGGGAAGATTACTTGTATAATACGGGCAAATCCACTAATCACATTCACTGATCGTGTGGCTTCTTGCCAGTTTTGACTACCTCGAGACTTTCGTTGAGTGTTCTCTCAAATCTCTCTTGATCCATCACCCCATTCACATCAAACCAACTTCCAAACGATTTTGATATGCTGTAATTTGATACCCGATTGATTTTTTTCTCCTCGACAAGTTCAAATTTTATGGTATAGATATCCGAGCTCCGTTTGGCGTTAGTGTGAATGGATATTTTGAAATTAGAATCACAACCCACGAACAATACGTCTTTCTCAAAGACAAATGCGTATACGAATAATATGGAATTTAAGATAAAGTAGCTGTGTTTCATACATTCATGTTTGACGATGGTAAGTATTTAAAGGAAAGATATGCACAAAGGACTTCATTTCGCATCAGATCACTTACGCTAAAATACAAATTAACGTGAGTTTTTTAGATTCTTCAAATGGAACCATGTAACCGTAATATCCACCGGATAATGCAAATCCGCATGCCAAATAGCCAAGCACCAGTTTAACGTCGGTGTGGGTGTGCACCTGATTGTATCCCGCTTCGGTGGTAAAATACTTGCAAAGAATAAATGATATTGATGTTAACTTTTGGAGAAAAACTAATATCTTCTCGTATAAGAATGCAATGGATGCAATCGACCAACCTTTATAATGTAATCATCACAAGCATTCTTCAAATCTGTGACACAATAATTGTTGACTTTAATAACATCCTTTTCTTTTTCGACGACATCAATTTGTTCTTGTTTCTGGTCTTAAATAAAATATTTTGGGGAATACAACAGGAAAATCAGTTGACGATTATTACTAGCGAGACCAATTGCACGTCTCACAAAAATCCTGCAGAGACGACGCAAGTGGTCTTCCTCACTGTCTTGGGAATCATAAACGATCAATGAGCTATTAATAAACACCGTTTACAGAAACTTCGATTGATTTCGTGGTCTCGTCTATTGTCTCCGCCATTTTTTCGCGTGCACCTGAGAGAGTAAGCTTAGCTAAGCTCTAGCGTGGTTTACATCTATTCGCCATTTGTTGTGATTGGTAATCTGATTGGTCGAACTAAATCTTAATTGTTTCTGTATGATAACGTGTAATGTTGCGTCAACATTTTTTCTAAAGTTAATTTGCACTTTCCTTTACTAATTAAAGAATGATTTTATTTGAATAAAAATAATTTATTTCGGAATCGTTATGATAAATTAGGCTACACTTTACAGAATATCGGAAAATTTTGAAGAAGGCTTGGAAGGGGTTTTTCGAAGATTTAGGGAACAGAACCACATAAAATCTAGACGACACTTTAGGAATCTGAGAACGTCTATTTCGACTGGACGATCTCGTTCGACCAAATATTTTCTCATTTGATACCCAAAGTCCCAACCGTTCAGCGCACCGTAAATAACAGTCGCGTTGATGGTTACTCATTTGTCAATATTCTTGTGACTGGCTTCTACAATTTTCTTTAAAACGTCCCTCACATATTTTAATCGATTCATTATGGTCGAGTGATTCCCTCCCATTATTTCGAAGATGGTGTAAGTATTGATTCCACCCGCTTCGTTGATATAGGTTATGGTTCGTCCCTCGTCCGACAACACGATTTTTTCATGATCAAAGAAATTTACCTTGTATCGGGCGTACAAAAAAAGATATTTAGTATAGCATCGTTAAAGAAACCAAACTTCCAACTCTCATTTAAGACTGACCTGTATCAGACGATTACTTAACCTAAATAAGATTGCATGCGGTGTACGTTTAAACTTTGTCAGGAAGTCCATGTTATGAGTCCTTTCGAGATCGACGAAATTGTAAGAATTATTCTTTACAATGGTTTCATTCATGTATCTGCGGAAATTCTTTAGCAAATGTAATTTCTTATGCAACTCTTTTGGATGCTCATCCACCTTGTAAAAATAACGCCTCGGTGACACAGAGTTGTTGGAATTACGAGAATTGTAGATATATTCAAAGTGTCTGATGATAAAATATGTTCTTCATTTAACTTAAGTTAAATTAAACGGGTGTATATTTTTTTCTTCCACTTACATGCCATCGGGTGACATTATCGTGCTGGTCTTGTCGTTATAATAAACGCCGACCGATCCATCAGTCAACTGGTATCCCAATCCATATTTATTTGAATAATCCATCCATTTACTGATAAATACCCGCGGAGTGGTGGGTGAATCTATGATAAATGTATATATATTTTTATTATTTATTTATTTATTTATATTTGTTTAGATACCCATTATGTCCACGGTTTTATTATTAAAAAAAAATGTTCAGGAATTTAGAATGATACATACGATTCTCATAAGAAATCGCCTTTCCGTTCTTCGTATCCTCGAACGCCGACACGAGAGTGGAGTAAAAGGATTCGAATACTCCAACACGTGGTCTACCTGTTAGTAATGTTAAGGTTGTTTCCAGTTCAAAGGCCATGAGCATGATCAAATCCATTCCATCTTACCTGGTGATTCACTATTGGTGATGCGTGGATTTTCTGTTGGTGAAACCGTATTCGGTGCTTTGCTTGAGATGAGAACAGATTTTTTCGTGATTTTTGCAGTCGCGTCGAAAACCGAGGTAGTAGTGGTAACGGTGGAGGTTAAAGCGGTGTTGGTCGTGGCCATCGCCTTGGTGGTGGCGGTGAAATTGGTTGTGGTCATAGCCTTGGTGGTGGCAGTGAAATTGGTCGTGGTCATAGCCTTGGTGGTGGTAGTGGAGTTGGTCCTGGTAATCGCCGCGGTGGTGGCCGCAGATTTTATGCTCTTTTTGGTCACCGAACTCATCTTAGTCAAAGCATTAAAGTTAGTGCCAACCTGGATGACAGTCAGCGGTCGTCTATTGGCCAGTGAGTAATTAATACGAGGCTTCATAAGAATCGGTTGATCAAAGCTGGGTGCTATATTTAACGCAGACATCGGAATCTCCGTTGGGGTTATCCCCAATTTGAAGAATTCATGATCCAAAATTTGCTGAATAGTTGGTCGTTTATCTTAGAATGTTGAGATAAAATTAAAGTGCTTGCCCGCGAGATGTGCAGTGGAACCATAAATTTCTTAAGTTCTTGTTAATTTACCAGGATCCAACGTCAGCATCAAGTTAATCAATTTCTTTGCCTCTTGAGAGACGTCCGTTATTTGTTCCGGAAAACTGTACTTCAATTCTTTGATTCTCCTGAAATATTGACAATAAGGGTTGAACTGTCGTAAATTTGCAATAATGAAGTTATTCCTACATGTGTTTAAAGTGAACCTAACTTGTATATTTGGCTGACTTCTCCATCTGTCTGAAACGGTGGCTTTCCGAATAATAACGTGTACCTGTCAGCATGAAAGCGTAAACGTAAAAACATTTCGGGAGGTCACGTTCTTAAACCAGTGGTTAACAGCATTTTACATTATGACGCCCAGTGACCATACATCTGCCTCAAAACTGTGTCCGTTAAGTTGATCGAACAAAACTTCCGGTGCGATGTAATTCGGCGTACCACATATCGTTCTGTGGTAGATTATATTAGATTAGAGCTGAGAAAATGTATTGTGATGAGATCGCGTTTGTGTAAGACTGCTTACTTTTTCCTTTCGCCTTCTTGTTCCAGTCGCGCTGCCAGGCCAAAATCTCCAATTTTAATTTTCATATCTCTGGACAAGAAGAGATTTGCCAATTTGAGATCACGGTGAATTACAAAATTCCGGTGCATGTATTCGCACGCGTCTAAAAGTTGACGCATGAAATAACGGACTTCTGCTTCGGTCAATCTCCGCCTCTTTTTATTCATATAGGCTAGAGTCTAAATAAATAAACGAAATTTCGTCAGTCCCTGACCCTACGAATTCAATGATTTCGATTCGGGAAGCATATTCTCCTACCTTGTTTTCACAAAGTTCCATGATCATGTATACAAAAGAAGCGTCTTCACAACAATCATAGAATTTGACTATATGAGGATGATCCATGACTTTGTGAATTTGAATCTCGCTGAGAAGCTAAACGTAATTACAAGGATTTATTATTTTGAGACATTTTTCGTTTACTTATAAATATATATTTGTTTTTTTTTTTGTTTTTCCACAAAATATTTCCAAATTACGTCCACCCCGAAAGAATTTTTATTCCACCATAAATTCCAACGCAGATTGTTTACATTGAGTAATTCGCAAAGTACCTTGTCTTTGTTTTTAGCATTTCGCAACGTAGACTTTGCCACAGCTTTTACGGCAAGAAGCCTTCCTTCCTTGTCCTCTACCTCATAACATCTTCCAAACCCTCCCTTAATTGAAAAACAAGAATGTGTAAACCGTCAGCCTTACGAAAGTGCTTTGCGAATCGTATGTGGAATTGTAAATTTCGAGCGATTATAAGGATTCTTGAGTGATTGCATTAGTAGGTCACAAACCTCTCCAAGTAACCCATGTCGTTTGAATTCTTGGTTCGGTTTCTTGGGAGGCTTAATAATAGCGGGTGGTTCTTGCAGGCGATTACCATTACGCGACTGATTTTTTTTTCCTTTATCCATTATATGCGAGGGTTGTGGAAAATATATTGATGACGATCAGATAATTGGTGAATGCCTAATCTTATTCTGATGTGATATGATGTGAGACCATATGCGAAAAGTAAACAAATAAAAAAAGTTTGCTATTTCCGAAGTTGTCAATTCGATCTTCATAAACAATTTAAAAACCTCCCGATTCATCTTGTGTTACAACAATGTGTGGTAAAGATCATTTTCTTTTTCCAGTATGTATACTTTACTACCACTACATTGCTTTTTTATATACTGTAATAATTGCATGTAAAGATTTTATTATTCAAAATATACTTCTAATCAGAGTGCATACTGATGTAATTATTAAATATTTTATTAAAATTAACCAATTTTCTTTTTTTTAAAAATATTCTTTTGATTTCTTGTTACTTGTTATTAAGATTTTTATTGATATAAATACTTAAATATAAATTATATAATTAATTAGTTAATATAGTAATTTTAATCAGATTATAATCATATAACCATTAATTAATATAATGATTAATTAGATTATTGGTATTTTTATTATTGTTGTTAATATATTAATTTTATTGAAAATTTTATAATAATAATAATAATAATAATAAGAAAATTTCTCATTTAATATATTTTATTCTTTAAAGTTTTTAATAATATTATTTAAACATTATTATTATTTTGAATAGGGCTTCTAATAATATCACTTCGATATCAGTTTAATACTTAAATTTACTATTAATTAATATTATTTCAATATTAGTTTAATATTAATTTGATACTTTTCAAAGTTCTAATATTGAGAAAGCAAAATAATAATTGTGTCAATTTAAATTTATAATAAATAGAATATTTTTATATTTTATAAAAATATAAAAATAAATTAAAATAATTAAAAAAATATTAAAATAAACTAAAAAAAAAAAATTTATAAATTAATATATTTAAATTTTTAATTTCTTTCTTAAAAAACTTCACAATTATTGATAAAAGTAATTTTTAATTCTTAATAATTTAGTTTATTCAATATTTGTTTTGTTTTAAACACTATTAAATAAATTAATATAAACAATCAAAATTATTATTTTAATCAATTTTATAACTTTACTTTAATATTGAAATCAAAAAATAACAATATATAAAAATTGAATTTAAAAAAAAAACAATAAAAAGATATAAGAGAAAAATATAAAATAATATAAAAATTTAGAATTTTATAAATATTAACAATTGTTCTTTATCAAAGCTAAAAAAAAATATAATCTTTTTATTAGGATTCTGAAAAGTACAAATTGATATTAAACTGATATCAAAATGGTACCGATCTATAGTAAATTTAAAATATGAATTGTGATAGATCGG